ATAGAATAGAACAGAACAGAATAAAAACAGGAGTAGAATAGAATAGAATAAAAACGAGTAGAGTAGAATAGAATAGAATAAAAACAGGAGTAGAATACAATAGAATAGAAATAATAGAATAGAATAGAAACAGGAGTAGAATAGAATAGAATAGAATAGAATAGAATAGGATAGAATTGGCATCTGTTGAATGTCTTTAATAAAATGGATCTTACTGAACGATGGTGGCTTCTCTCTCCCTTTGTCCCGCAGAGAGCAAGCTGCGTTTTCCCACCGAAGCGGTCATCGCTGCCGGCGTGGTCCTGTCACTCATAGCGCTCTTTGCTCTGGCAGTTCGATGGCAGAAGTTCATACAGGTAGGGAGACTCGAGGATGGCTATTGCCCACTCAGAAACATCTTCCAGATGCGAAGAATCAGGGTAACATGAATCTGTTCCGTCCTAGGCCTCACCAAAAAGGACTCAGTCAATTCTGAGTCCCATCAAAAATCACTTCATTTACAGTAATGTGAATTATTTCCTGTTACCTAGTGTGTGATTTGATTGCTTATTGTACCCTATGACTATCATTAAGTGTTGTACTTGATGATTCTTGACTCTTGACGAATGTATCTTTTCTTTTATGTGCACTGAGAGCATTTGCACCAAAGACAAAATCCTTCTGTGTCCAATCACACTAGGCCAATAAAGAATTCTATTCTGTTCTGTTCTATTCCTATTCTCTTTTCTTCTCTATTCTATTGTTCTATTCTATTCTCTGTTCTCTTCTATCCATATTCCATATATTCCTGTTCTATTCTATTTTCTATTTTCTATTTTCTACTCTACTCTACTCTACTCTACTCTACTCTCTATCCTGTTCCATCCCGTCCCATCCCATTCTATTTAAATTCTATTCCTATATCCTTCTATTCTGTTCTATTGTACCCTATGACTATCATTAAGTGTTGCACCTGATGCTTCTTGACTCTTGACGAATGTATCTTTTCTTTTATGTGCACTGAGAGCATTTGCACCAAGACAAATTCCTCGTGTGTTCAATCACACTTGGCCAATAAAAGAATTCTATTCTATTCTATTCTATTCTATTCTATTCTATTCTATTCTATTCTATTCTTTCTTTCTTCCTTCCTTCCTTCCTTCCTTCCTTCCTTCCTTCCTTCCTTCCTTC